TACGAGATACCCGACGTGAACAAGAAGGAGCGGCCGGGCGTCCACCAGCGCGAGGTGTTCCTCTTCAACGACCTGCTGGTCATCACCAAGATATTCAGCAAGAAGAAGACCTCCGTGACGTACACGTTCCGCAACAGCTTCCCGCTCTGCGGCACGGTGGTGACCCTGCTGGACATGCCCAACTATCCGTTCTGCATCCAGCTGTCGCAGAAGGTCGACGGTAAGATCCTGATCACCTTCAATGCCCGCAACGAGCACGACCGCTGCAAGTTTGCCGAGGATCTCAAGGAGTCCATCAGCGAGATGGACGAAATGGAATCGCTGCGCATCGAGGCAGAGCTGGAGCGCCAGAAGTCGGCGCGCAACCGGGCCCCGGGGAACGCAGAGAACCGCGATAGTGGCGTGGCCGATGTGGAGGTGTGTCCCTGTCCCTATGGCTCCCAGCCAGGCGGCGGCTCCCAGGCAGCCGGCGAGCAGGCAGCTGGCAACTCGGCCGACTCCACGCAGCAGCTGAAGCGCAGTGCGCTCAGCAACAGTCTCCTGGACATGCACGAGCAATGTGAGTTCTCAGACTCAAATTTTGATATGTGAGAGCGTTTGTCTTATTCCGAGTCTCCTTCCAGTTGGCAACGAGAAGCCCCAGCGACGAGGCAGCGTCGGCTCCCTGGACAGCGGCATGAGCATCTCCTTCCAGTCGACCACCACGTCCAGCGCCTCGCGGGAGAATGCGGCGGCCATTGCAGCTGCCGCCAATGCAGCGGCGGCTGCCAAGATGCGTTTCAACATGCCGCCAACGGCGGCGATTGCCACGCCCAACAATGTGTATGCAGCGCCCGGAATGCAGGCGTACACGCATGCCAACTTTGTGCAGCAGTCGCAGGCCGCCTACATGATGCAGCAGCAGCAAATGCTTCAGCAACAGGCACAAATGCAAGCCCAGGCGCAAGCCCAGGCCCAAGCGCAGGCTCAGGCGCAGGCGCTACAGCAGCAGGGAGGCGGAGGAGCAGGAGTAGGAGGAGGAGCCGTGGTCACGGGTCGAATCCCTGGAAGGGAGAGGAAGGCCTCACGCTCCGATGAGAACGCACGGTCGACGGAGGTCTAAGTCATCTACTCATCTACGTATTGTACATTTCCGTTGTTCAGCAAAGCGATAAATATTAAATCTATATAGCATATAGAGTCAAATATCTGTATAATCCGAATCGAAACGAACCGAAAGCCATTTTTTCTGCAACACCTAACAAACAAACATACACACACACCACACACACAGCTTACGAGTATATAGTGAATTTTGAATGTTCCTTCGTTCTCTGCTAATATTAATTGATGTACATAAATTAAACAATTGTCTGTTTCCCGCACTATCTACTTGCTAAAATAAGTTTCTAAAACTAATTGTATATATATACATTCAGCATACACGCATACACGTACGATATACATATACATGTAGCCCCTACGATCGACGGAGGTCTAAGTCATCTACTCATCTACGTATTGTACATTTCCGTTGTTCTGCAAAGCGATAAATATTAAATCTATATAGCATATAGAGTCAAATATCTGTATAATCCGAATCGAAACGAACCGAAAGCCATTTTTTCTGCAACACCTAACAAACAAACATACACACACACCACACACACAGCTTACGAGTATATAGTGAATTTTGAATGTTCCTTCGTTCTCTGCTAATATTAATTGATGTACATAAATTAAACAATTGTCTGTTTCCCGCACTATCTACTTGCTAAAATAAGTTTCTAAAACTAATTGTATATATATACATTCAGCATACACGCATACACGTACGATATACATATACATGCTCCACTAGCTCTACCTCACTCACCTGCAAATGCAACTAGTAGCTGCGGCACAGGAACCCACAGCAGCAGCAGCGGCGGCGGCGTTGGGCTGCTCCAGCTGCCCGCCCTGAGTATGCCCAATGCCAGACAAACTCGGATGCTGCAGCGACAGCACCAACCAACGACAATTATTCCCCCCCCCCCCCCCCATCATTCTGCCAGCTGTCCCCGACATTATGCCCATTCTGGACAAGCTGCAGAATGACCCGAGGGTGGGCAACAGTAGCTATCACACCAAGCTCATCAGCCGCAATGGTGTCCGTATCCAGGCCCGCGACATGGCTACCAGGGATGCCATCATGGCAATCCTGGGCGATGGCGACGGCAACGAGGCGATGACTGGCCACTACACACACCAGCACAAGAGTGACCGTGGGCTACGGATCGTCGTGCGAGATCTACACCACTCCACAAGCACCCAACTAATAAAAAATCAGATGGCCGAATTGGGTTATTATGTTATATTTATTAGAGCCATTAAAGGGAGATCCGATGGACAGCCGCTCGACCAGTTCGAGTTGGAGATAGCCCCCAAGCCGGATGAAAGCCACCACGATGTCCTCCAATTAACCCAGCTGGGCAACCAGTTGGTGACCGTTGAGAGGCAGGCCAAGCCGGTGGACCCAGCCCAGTGCCACAGATGTCAGGCATTCGGGCACACCCGCACCTACTGCAGGCGTTCATTCGTCTGTATGAAGTGTGCGGGTGCCCACGCGTCCACGGCATGTGCCAAGCCAAGGGCAGACGCCCCTAAATGCGCCAATTGCCAGGGCGCCCACATCAGCGCCTACAAGGGATGTCCGGCATTCAAGGCAGCAAGGGGCCGCCTTCTGTCCCACCGAGTGGCCATGCAGGAGTTGCGTCGCAAGCGCAGCTCGCTTCTGCAGCCATTGCCAGAGCAGCAGCCACCACCAGCAAGAACAACACCAGCACATCCAGGGCGCCGACAGCAGCAGCAACAGCAAGCTCAAACGCCAGCCAATCCCTGGCGCGGACAGCAGCAGCAGGCAGCATGGACGCCACTCAATGTCTCCTCTCCTGGGCGACGAACACACACATACACGTATCGATGCACCGTATGCCGATGCTTCGTGTGGAGAGAGCCGGAAACAGCAAGGAATGAGAGAAGGCGCAAAGAGAGAGCGGGTAACGACCTCGTACCAGCGACAGTACGAGAGGGCACTCGAGCAGCCTCTACACGAACAGCAGCCAACACAAGATTCGTGCTCGAGTGCCCGTTCGGGAGCGAGTTCGAACTCGAACCACAGCCATGGCACAAACCCCGCTCGATCGGCCACAGCAGCGGTTCCAAATGCAATGCACACAGCCAATACCACAACCACAAATACAATGATGACATACATCAGCACACAAACAGCGACATCAAACACAAAAACGACAACTACAATTACGTCGGCAGCCAGACGATGCCTGTTAACAGCAATGTTAACAGGCGGACCCCCCCCACCACCGCCGCCAGAGGAACATCAGCAGCAGCAAACACATCAACAACAACAACAACATCAGCCAATAGCAACAAACACAGCCAATACCGATGATATCCCATCCACCTCTGCTGCAGCGGCCCGTTCGCCACTGAAGCGCGTCCGCGCCGAGGTGGATGACGATGACGATGATGACAGTGATGACTCGGATGCTGCAGCGACAGCACCAACCAACGACAATTATTCCCCCCCCCATCATTCTGCCAGCTGTCCCCGACATTATGCCCATTCTGGACAAGCTGCAGAATGACCCGAGGGTGGGCAACAGTAGCTATCACACCAAGCTCATCAGCCGCAATGGTGTCCGTATCCAGGCCCGCGACATGGCTACCAGGGATGCCATCATGGCAATCCTGGGCGATGGCGACGGCAACGAGGCGATGACTGGCCACTACACACACCAGCACAAGAGTGACCGTGGGCTACGGATCGTCGTGCGAGATCTACACCACTCCACAATCACCCAACTAATAAAAAATCAGATGGCCGAATTGGGTTATTATGTTATATTTATTAGAGCCATTAAAGGGAGATCCGATGGACAGCCGCTCGACCAGTTCGAGTTGGAGATAGCCCCCAAGCCGGATGAAAGCCACCACGATGTCCTCCAATTAACCCAACTGGGCAACCAGTTGGTGACCGTTGAGAGGCAGGCCAAGCCGGTGGACCCAGCCCAGTGCCACAGATGTCAGGCATTCGGGCACACCCGCACCTACTGCAGGCGTTCATTCGTCTGTATGAAGTGTGCGGGTGCCCACGCGTCCACGGCATGTGCCAAGCCAAGGGCAGACGCCCCTAAATGCGCCAATTGCCAGGGCGCCCACATCAGCGCCTACAAGGGATGTCCGGCATTCAAGGCAGCAAGGGGCCGCCTTCTGTCCCACCGAGTGGCCATGCAGGAGTTGCGTCGCAAGCGCAGCTCGCTTCTGCAGCCATTGCCAGAGCAGCAGCCACCACCAGCAAGAACAACACCAGCACATCCAGGGCGCCGACAGCAGCAGCAACAGCAAGCTCAAACGCCAGCCAATCCCTGGCGCGGACAGCAGCAGCAGGCAGCATGGACGCCACTCAATGTCTCCTCTCCTGGGCGACGAAGAGGACAACAACATCAGCAGAAGCAGAAGCAGCAGCAGCCAATACATACAAAAAAACAGACGCCTGCTGCCTCTGGCCCACGCACTGGGCGACGACGTCCAGAGCAGCCATTGAGCCGTTCCCAGGCACAACAGCAGCAGCAGCTACAGCAGATGCAGCAGCACCAGCAGCAGCAGCACCAGCACCAGGGAATGCACAAGAAGAACTCGATCCGCAATGGCGGAGATGTCCTCAAGCGCGGACGGGCACAGTCAGCGTAAGTATTGCCTCTCTCAAAGGGAAAACCATGGACACGATTGGGGAGCCTCTTCTTTATGGGATTACCCAAAGATATAAGTCTCGTTTGGAGGCATTGAGTGTCTTGAAAGGGAATCGGGAACAGATTAATAGAATAGATACGACCCTTTGGTGATATTTTGGCGATGTCCCTTCCGTTTAAAGACGGAAATTCTGCTGTTAAAAATTCCAGTTTAGATCTCTGTTTGTTTTGCCTCAATCAATCAACAATCAATAGCATAGCATAGTTGTTAGCTCTGTGACAAAGCATAGATACGTATCTACGGAGGAGATTGAAAGCAGTACAGGAGGCAGGTGGCAGCTGGACTAAGAGCTCTATTAAACGCCAGATCCCCTCCTCCATTGCACACTCTGGGCATTCTGGCAATCAAAAGTCGCGCTCTCTGTCGATGCGGGAGCGACGACAGCTGGACTGCAGTCCCATACCACGTAGTCAATCGGGTAAGGAATCACTCTCTCCCCCTGCTTGTGGATCCTTTGCTTAATCCAACTCCTCTGTCTTTTTGCAGGCGCCTCTCCCGTTTCCATTTCGGGATCCACAGCCACCGCTGGCGGAATGGCCTCCCATCCGCATGTGAATCTGCTGCACGCGGCCGAGCCGCATTACTACAATGCCCAGGGAGCCGTCTACTACACCAGCTACCACGGCTCCCCGCACGACCTGAGCTACGCCAGCTCCGCGGACGTCTCGCTGAACGCCTCGTGGGTGAACGCCAGCGGGCACAGCCCCCACACGCCCTACTACTCGGCGGCACAGATCTACATGCGCCCCAAGGGCGGCAGCACCACGCCCACTCCCAGCTGCAGCGGCAGCACGGGCAGCGGCAGCGGCAGTGGCAGCGGCAGCTGCAAGAAGGTTCCGCCGGAGGTGCCCAAGCGCACCTCTTCGATCACGGCACAGCAGCAGAGCCAGCTGCTGCTGCTGCAGCGCCAGACACCGCCGCCCCCGTCGCTGCTGCGGACCAACGGGCTCTGCAAGACGGCGGAGAACGGCAGCCTGACCTCCGTCCAGAGTTCCGGCTCAGACTCGAGCGTCACCTCGGCGGAGCGGAACATGAACAGCGACCTCGGATCGGACCGCAGCAACTCCCCCCACACGTGGAAGCGTGGCACGGCCCTGAACAGCTCCCAGCAGTTCTCCACGCACTCGGCCGACTCGGTATCGGTCTCGGTGCCCAGCGGAGGTGGAGGTGGAGCCGTTGTGGTCTCCGGAGCAGCCATAGCTGCTGCTGGGCCCGGAGCTTATGCCGCACAGATGCAGGCGGCCGTGGCAGCGGCCACAGCGGCGGGCGGAGTACCGCCGACGGACGATCATGCCGTCTCGTCGCACACCAGCGCCGCGCAGTACGAGCAGCACGAACAGCAGCAGCACGAGCAGCAGCAGCTGCAGGCAGCGGCCTCCGCCGCGGGCGTGGCCCAGAACTACAAGATGTCGGAGACCATACGCAAGCGGCAGTACCGCGTGGGCCTCAATCTGTTCAACAAGAAGCCGGAGAAGGGCATCACCTATCTCATCCGCAGGGGCTTCCTCGAGAACACGCCACAGGGCGTGGCTCGTTTCCTGATCACGCGCAAGGGCCTCTCCCGCCAGATGATCGGCGAGTATCTGGGCAATCTGCAGAACCAGTTCAACATGGCCGTGCTCAGCTGCTTCGCCATGGAGCTGGACCTGTCCGGCCGCCAGGTGGACGTGGCCCTGCGCAAGTTCCAGGCCTACTTCCGGATGCCCGGGGAGGCGCAGAAGATTGAGCGGCTGATGGAGATCTTCTCGCAGCGCTACTGCGAGTGCAATGCGGACATTGTGGGGCGCCTAAGATCATCCGATACGGTAGAGTCTCCCCTCCCCTCCCCTCCTTGGAGGTTCGCCTACTAATCCGATTTATATTTGCGCTGCTGCAGCGCCAGACACCGCCGCCCCCGTCGCTGCTGCGGACCAACGGGCTCTGCAAGACGGCGGAGAACGGCAGCCTGACCTCCGTCCAGAGTTCCGGCTCAGACTCGAGCGTCACCTCGGCGGAGCGGAACATGAACAGCGACCTCGGATCGGACCGCAGCAACTCCCCCCACACGTGGAAGCGTGGCACGGCCCTGAACAGCTCCCAGCAGTTCTCCACGCACTCGGCCGACTCGGTATCGGTCTCGGTGCCCAGCGGAGGTGGAGGTGGAGCCGTTGTGGTCTCCGGAGCAGCCATAGCTGCTGCTGGGCCCGGAGCTTATGCCGCACAGATGCAGGCGGCCGTGGCAGCGGCCACAGCGGCGGGCGGAGTACCGCCGACGGACGATCATGCCGTCTCGTCGCACACCAGCGCCGCGCAGTACGAGCAGCACGAACAGCAGCAGCACGAGCAGCAGCAGCTGCAGGCAGCGGCCTCCGCCGCGGGCGTGGCCCAGAACTACAAGATGTCGGAGACCATACGCAAGCGGCAGTACCGCGTGGGCCTCAATCTGTTCAACAAGAAGCCGGAGAAGGGCATCACCTATCTCATCCGCAGGGGCTTCCTCGAGAACACGCCACAGGGCGTGGCTCGTTTCCTGATCACGCGCAAGGGCCTCTCCCGCCAGATGATCGGCGAGTATCTGGGCAATCTGCAGAACCAGTTCAACATGGCCGTGCTCAGCTGCTTCGCCATGGAGCTGGACCTGTCCGGCCGCCAGGTGGACGTGGCCCTGCGCAAGTTCCAGGCCTACTTCCGGATGCCCGGGGAGGCGCAGAAGATTGAGCGGCTGATGGAGATCTTCTCGCAGCGCTACTGCGAGTGCAATGCGGACATTGTGGGGCGCCTAAGATCATCCGATACGGTAGAGTCTCCCCTCCCCTCCCCTCCTTGGAGGTTCGCCTACTAATCCGATTTATATTTGTTTACAGATCTTTGTGCTGGCATTTGCCATCATTATGCTCAATACGGATCTGCACACGCCCAATCTGAAGCCGGAAAGGCGCATGCGCGTCGAGGACTTCATCAAGAATCTGCGAGGCATCGACGATTGCCACGACATTGACAAGGACATGCTGAGCGGCATCTATGAGCGCGTCAAGTCGGACGAGTTCAAGCCGGGCAGCGACCACGTCACCCAGGTGATGAAGGTGCAGGCCACCATTGTCGGCAAGAAGCCGAATCTGGCGCTGCCCCACCGGCGGCTGGTCTGCTATTGCCGCCTGTACGAGATACCCGACGTGAACAAGAAGGAGCGGCCGGGCGTCCACCAGCGCGAGGTGTTCCTCTTCAACGACCTGCTGGTCATCACCAAGATATTCAGCAAGAAGAAGACCTCCGTGACGTACACGTTCCGCAACAGCTTCCCGCTCTGCGGCACGGTGGTGACCCTGCTGGACATGCCCAACTATCCGTTCTGCATCCAGCTGTCGCAGAAGGTCGACGGTAAGATCCTGATCACCTTCAATGCCCGCAACGAGCACGACCGCTGCAAGTTTGCCGAGGATCTCAAGGAGTCCAGTAGGTGCGGGTGTGCCCGAATGCCTGACATCTGTGGCACTGGGCTGGGTCCACCGGCTTGGCCTGCCTCTCAACGGTCACCAACTGGTTGCCCAGCTGGGTTAATTGGAGGACATCGTGGTGGCTTTCATCCGGCTTGGGGGCTATCTCCAACTCGAACTGGTCGAGCGGCTGTCCATCGGATCTCCCTTTAATGGCTCTAATAAATATAACATAATAACCCAATTCGGCCATCTGATTTTTTATTAGTTGGGTGCTTGTGGAGTGGTGTAGATCTCGCACGACGATCCGTAGCCCACGGTCACTCTTGTGCTGGTGTGTGTAGTGGCCAGTCATCGCCTCGTTGCCGTCGCCATCGCCCAGGATTGCCATGATGGCATCGCTGGTAGCCATGTCGCGGGCCTGGATACGGACACCATTGCGGCTGATGAGCTTGGTGTGATAGCTACTGTTGCCCACCCTCGGGTCATTCTGCAGCTTGTCCAGAATGGGCATAATGTCGGGGACAGCTGGCAGAATGATGGGGGGGGGAATAATTGTCGTTGGTTGGTGCTGTCGCTGCAGCATCCGAGTCATCACTGTCATCATCGTCATCGTCATCCACCTCGGCGCGGACGCGCTTCAGTGGCGAACGGGCCGCTGCAGCAGAGGTGGATGGGATATCATCGGTATTGGCTGTGTTTGTTGCTATTGGCTGATGTTGTTGTTGTTGTTGATGTGTTTGCTGCTGCTGATGTTCCTCTGGCGGCGGTGGTGGGGGGGGTCCGCCTGTTAACATTGCTGTTAACAGGCATCGTCTGGCTGCCGACGTAATTGTAGTTGTCGTTTTTGTGTTTGATGTCGCTGTTTGTGTGCTGATGTATGTCATCATTGTATTTGTGGTTGTGGTATTGGCTGTGTGCATTGCATTTGGAACCGCTGCTGTGGCCGATCGAGCGGGGTTTGTGCCATGGCTGTGGTTCGAGTTCGAACTCGCTCCCGAACGGGCACTCGAGCACGAATCTTGTGTTGGCTGCTGTTCGTGTAGAGGCTGCTCGAGTGCCCTCTCGTACTGTCGCTGGTACGAGGTCGTTACCCGCTCTCTCTTTGCGCCTTCTCTCGTTCCTTGCTGTTTCCGGCTCTCTCCACACGAAGCATCGGCATACGGTGCATCGATACGTGTATGTGTGTGTTGGAGTGTGGGAAGCGGAATTATTGGCGCGCTCGGTACCGCTAGGCTTGGCTTGGCTTGACATAGCGGTGCTTGACATTGCGGTGCTTTGGCTGACGCCGCTGCCGCTGCCGACGCCGCCAATGCCTCAAGCCGGCGACTACCGCTGCTGCTGCTGCTGCTGCTGATGTTCTGCTGCTTCTGCTGCCGCTGGCGTTCCTGGGTATGGACCGCCTCAACCCAATCGCCGATCTGGAACTGCTCCTGGCTGGTGAGATTGGGAATGGCCGCCCAGCTGTTGGGGCAGGGCAGGTCGGGGATGGGGCTTGTGGCCGGAGTGGCCGGAGTGGCCGTGATGGTGGTGTCGGTATTTGTGGTCCTCACATACCCGGTAATGGTGGCTGGAGCCGGTCCAGGAATTGGAGGAAGTGCCTCCAACCAGGTGGCGGAGTCGGTGGATTGGCGTCTCAGTATCGCTGCGTCTGCCACGGCGCCGGTGGCTGCGCTGTCGGCGCTGGCTTCGCCGTCGGCGGCGCTGTCGGAGCTGGCAGTGGAAATGGCTGATTTGGGGCGATCCCTGGCTGTGACGCCGTGTGGTCCTCGTCGTCGTCGTCCTCTTCTGGCAGTGGAACCGCGTGGCATAGCTGCGCTGGATTGGCTTTGGTTGGATTTGGTAATAAATTTTTTCGACCGACGCGAGTGGAGATTTTGTCAAGTCAGATTGATTCACACAGTTTTTTTGAGTTTTTTTTTCCAATTATATACCCGCTTTGGGTTGAGGGCACTCAGTGCTCCATACAGGGGAGGAACTGAGAGGCTGGGGTGTGAGCCGCCAGCAACCAAGCGCGTTGCTTTATTAATTTCTCTTTGTGGGTATATGTCTTAATTTAGTAGATGTACATTTTTATACCCGATACTCAAAATGAGTATTGGGGTATATTAGATTTGTGGTAAAAGTGGATGTGTGTAACGTCCAGAAGGAATCGTTTCCGACCCTATAAAGTATATATATTCTTGATCAGCATCAATAGCCGAGTCGATTGAGCCCTGTCTGTCTGTCCGTCCGTCCGTCTGTCCGTCTGTCCGTCCCCTTCAGCGCCTAATGCTCAAAGACTATAAGAGCTAGAGCAACGATGTTTTGGATCCAGACTTCTGTGATATGTCACTGCTCCAAAAATATTTCAAAACTTTGCCCCGCCCACTTCCGCCCCCACAAAAGGCGAAAATCTGTGGCATCCACAATTTCGACGATACGAGAAAACTAAAAACGCAGAATCGTAGAAGATGACTATATCTTCTAGAGTGCAAAATCTGAACCAGATCGTATAATTATTACAGCCAGAATCACGAAAACAATTTCACTCTTTCTCGCTCTGTCTCACTCTAACACACAGGTTTCATGGTCGGTTTTGCCAATTGCAAAATATGAGTTCAAGGATCTCAGAACCTATAAAAGCCAGAGCAACCAAATTTGGTATCCACACTCCTGTGATATCGGACCTTGACCGTTTCCTGTCCAAATTTCGCCACACCCCCTTCCGCCCCCGCAAAGGACGAAAATCTGAGGCAACCACAAATCTCAGAGACTATTAAGGCTAGAGTAACCAAATTTGGTGCACACACTCCTTTAAGATGTCACTATAAAACGTATATCTCAGAATTTCGCCCCACCCCCATCCGCCCCCACAAAGGACGAAAATCTGTTGCATCCACAATATTGCAGATTTGAGAAAACTAAAAACGAAGAATCATAGATAATGACCATATCTATTAGATTGTTGAATCTGGATCAGATCAGACCATTTTTTTAGCCAAAAGGAACAAATCAATTTGCAGTGGCTACGCAGCGCCCGACGTCACGCTCAGACTGATTTCCTGTCTTGTCGACTCTCTGTCGTGTCGTTAAATATTAGCGGCGTCTGCCGGAGGAGAGCCATACTGACTTAGTATCGGGTATAACCTTAGAGTTGCGGTGTCCGCAGCAACTCACAACGTTCCCCCTCGTTGTTTGTTTGTTTTTTACAATTTAACTTTTAAACGGCACTCAAACACACTAGTACATTTAATGGCACAATAATTTACAAACATATAAACTGCAGCAACGTTAAACACTTGTAACCTCGACTAGGCCCGCAGTCAGCAGGGGGGGGCAAGGGAAAAAGAGAAAGAGAGAGAGATAAACTTTTCGGCACTTTGACGGAGGGACTAAACCTCAAACACGACTCGACTCCACAACGCTCACGACACGACTTTTTCTCGTTTGGACAGAGATCCAGACTCGAGACTCGATTCCACGATCGGGGCAAAAGGCTTCAAAAGTATGAATTGTCAAGAGGGTGTCAAGTGTGTGTGTGTGTGCGGTGTGAGTCAAGAAAGTAAAGTGGGGCCACGCTCAAAAGTATGCTGTCTCTTCCGTGTAATTTTCCCTAACTTAAAATTTGATTTGATCCCCTGTGAGTTTGTCAACTTGATGTTTTGTTGGTTGTAATGCGGTATGTGGTCTTCAGTCCCCTCTACTACCCTTGCCGCCTGCTGAGGGCAGACGACTAGGAATGTATCATGTACATGTGGGCGGGCAGTTTATAGGGAACGTAGTGGATATATGCGAAGACTTGCATATTTGGCTCAATTTAGGCCGTAGTGGTGGGGTGTGGCGGCAACTGATGCTGATTTGAAAGTCGATTACGAAACCGATAATCAATTGTCAGCACCGTTGCCGCCGAAGATTTATCACAGATTGTAATAATTTTTTTTAGTGGGGTGTCGGAGAACCGCACTAATTACGATAGTAACAATAAGGGGGAAGAAGGGGTTAAAGAAATGAGATCGAAATGTGCAGAAATGTGCAGTGTTGCAACACGTAGTCAGTTGAGGAATAGATAAAGAGAAAAGGTAAACAATGCATGTGCTTTGCATGGAAAATAAGTGGAAAGGCTCTAAATAAAAGAGACAAGCACTTGCAGAAATAACAATACAGGTAAGTAGTAGACTGGAGTGGAGACGACGGAAAAACAGGTAATAAAAGAGATACTACACTGGAACAAAGACGAGACAAAACAGTTACAATTGATTTACGTTTACAATATTACAATAAACATAACAATTTAAAATAATGTCTATATCTTTTACTATAATTACAGGGAAGACAAGAAGCATCGGCCGGCATAGCAAAACACAATGCTTGTAAAGACATTGCGTTGCATACCGGCCGACCCCGTCGTCCCCCCTGGTCGTCGAAATTGGCGTCTTCCAAAGTCGTCAGAGGTAGGTGCAATTAGCACCTCGTCGTCGTTGTGGCTGTGGCTCCCCGCTTGGAGAACCAGTGGCACTGGTCCGGCCACCAGCTGGGAGCCAGGAGTAGACGGCACACATAGTACTGTGGCGACACGGGTCCGGCCGCCAAAGTGAAATGGATGTGAGTGTGTGTGTGTGCGTCGGTAATTGTGGCCCTAATGTAGAGCGAGTGGCACTGGTCCGGCCACCATCTGTGGGCAATGGCGGTCGATGACACGCCTACTCGAACGGCGCAGGTCCGGCCGCCCAAGTGTAATGGATGTGTGTGTGTGTGTGTGTCTGAATGGCTGGCGGTAGGTATTTTGAGAGCCCTTTTTTAATCGTATGTGTGGCTGATGGATTTTTCCTTTTCCAGGACCATAGGGCACTCTGAATGCCATGGCACTGGATCCGGCCACCAGCTAAGGACGATGGCGGACACGACACACATCTACTCGAACGGCACAGGTCCGGCCGCCCAAGTGTAATGGATGTTTGTGTGTGTGTGTCTGAATTGCTGGCGGTAAGTATTTTGAGCGCCCTTTTTAATCGTATGTGTGGCTGATGGATTTTTCCT